TTGATTGATTAAACTTTTTAGTCCCGCCTAGTCTGCTGTTACCACCGCAGCCACGCCCACCCAATTGGCCACACCCAGCCAATGGGCCATGCCCACCCGGCACCCGGCGATACATAAGTGGGTTTTTTGGGTTTCAGTTTGGGCACTCGGTCTCTAAAAGGTTCGCCATCACTGCTTTAGTCCATGACTAGCATATTACCAAAGCTTTTAAGTTTACCTTATTCTATTGCACTTTATAGGCTCAAGTATGTAGGTTCTGTGTTGCATTCAGATTCTTTGCAAGCTTGCTTTGTGGTGTTATAGGACATTACTGAATGTGCTAATGGGCACCAAGAATGTAGAAATACTTGTTTAAGCATTGTGAAGGTTCTTTGATTTCCAAAGACAACTTTTGCCTTTTTCCAAAAATCCTTGCGCTAGTTGAGATGTGGTATTATTTCACTGTAGTTGCTCCTTTTCTAGTTGCTTCCAAGCTCCAGGCAAAGCTCTAAGGTCCAGGGAGGACTCTCACCAGGATATGCTTCTCACCATAGTTTATGGTCCTGGCAGTTGACTGAAAGTCCTTTTATCTGCTTATAATAGCTACCAATCTCCAGACATAGCCTCTGGTTCTCTAGTTTGCTTATCACCTTTCCTCCTATACCCCCACCTCTTTGTCTTAGCATTTGCTTTGTAAGCTAAGGGCCTGGGTGAGGTGAGGCTGCTTCTGGACTACTAAACATCACAGCTGCATCACCATCTTGGATGCTTATGAATAAGTGTATGAATGTATAAGGGAAGTAGAGCTGGGATGCATTTCTGCCTAAATACAGCTGCTTTTCCAAAGTGTGGACAGCAATTCCGTCTTTACTCTCTTGCAAGTATGTCTTTAAGTCGAAAATATCTCAGTTCCTAGAACAGCACTAAAAACAAAAATCTCCCAAGCTCTGTTTTAACATAATGTGCTATTCATAACGACACAAGTTTGACTTTTTATGAATGTGCATAATTAATGCAACATCAAAACAAGAACAAACAGAACTAATTCTCTGTTCCCTGATTACTAAACATAATCTTGCAAACTTTTTTTAGGGTTGGAAAGTTGGAGTTAGGATATAATAACTAACATAAAATATAGTATCTGTTTTATCCATCTGACTACTTGATCGTTACTGTTTATTTTAGCACTAAACAGCCCCAAATCAGCCAAACTAATGCAATAAATTAATGTACTTTAGCCAGCTGTTTAATATATCGGACACCAGACATGTCGAACTCGCGACGTCACATGTTGTGTGACGTATCAGAACTTTTTCCCTATTGCCAGCCATGGGGTGGGCGCAGTTTCCTTGTGACGCGTCTGGTCTGCGGGCCGGCAGTTTGACACCCCTGGACTACATTAAATCTAGTTCTTTCTTGTTTTCAGTGGACATGGTAACTGGAATTGTAACGCCTAATAAATTGTACATATAGAATTGTAATGAAGTGTTCTAATTAAGTCTGTGTTAAATAACAGCAAATCCAATTTTACATTTCTCAGAACATTTTTACATTATAATCATAATTTATAAACTTTGGATCTAAGGCTTAGAGTAATAGAGTAAAATGCATTGTGCAAAATCTAATAGAAGCCCGACAGATTTTAAGTGGTATCTCAGCTCTTCTGAGATTGTCCCATTTATGGTTGGTATTTTCATGAACAAATTATATTATGTAGTAATAGATCATGAGAGTGTTTCTAGTAATAAATTATTTGGGTGGAGGATCAGCTTGGCAACATGAATTTGCATTATTGCCCAGATGAAAACAGACAGATCAAAAATACAAACTGAGGAAATGGCAGCATTTGGCTGACCTTAACACTAAGCAGAATCAGCCCTGATTAATACTTGGAAGATGGGTCACACCTGTCTTCAGGCCTACAGATTAGAATGGGAAATCAAAAGCCAAAAGAAAAGCAGAAGAAAACAATGATAAATCACTTCTGCATTGTTACCAAGAGGCTTCTTGGATGTGTTGGTAAAACGAGTTGACTTTGACTGCCCAACCTTGAGAAATTTGAGTTTTTGTACACTATTATGGGACTCTAATAATCAAAATAGTCAACAGAAAACCATTATAGTACTGCAGTACCTTGTTTCTAAACTACGTGTTCTTCCCTCATCTTTTAACTCTTTCTCCTTGTTCTCTCTTCTATGGAGTAATGGGTAAATAAAGGAAGGTGACAGGATTATTGATGATGTTCTACAGGGCAGTACTTTTCAATTTCAACAACTTTTAAAGATGTGCAGATTTCATCTCTCAGAATTCTCTAGCCATTATTCCCAGTCCTGCTCAGCAAAAGGAGCTCCAATAAGCAGTAAAACCCATCGTTTAGCAGGTTTCCCAAATGGTGATCTGCAACATCATTTCACATTTACTGCCATATTTACACAAGTAGTCTTCAAAGAGTGCAATCCTAACAGCAACCTTTTCTCTTGGGAAATAAGATGAATTCCATCCATTCAGGCCTCTCAACATGGGATCAATTTACTTTGGTGCCATTCCAAAAACTAGAAATTAGTTGCATACAATAATTTAAAACATTTATTTCATCTCCTAATTTCCTTACCCTAAAAAATAAAGAGACAATATTTGTTATAAACATGATCAAATTCATTTATTTTCAATTAACACAGCTCATGGTGACAGCTTGTAGATTTTATGCACTATGATGAAAATCATAACACTCATTTAAAATAAATTCATGGTAACAACATTCACATGGTGTATTTTTATTGCCAAAAACCCTGAAATCCAGACCCAATAAAATTACTTAATTTTATTCACATCATTTGTCCTATTACGTTTTATTTAAACAAGTACCAAAAAGACCTAAAAACATAAGACCTTTTAATAGTATGACTTAATGACTTATTAATAGTCATAGTATGACTTAAAGTCTTATTAGTACTTTAATACAGATGGTCCTCAGCGTAGACTGGTTGGTTAGCGACCAATTCAAAGTTAAGACGGACCCATAAAAGGAGACATACAACCTGGATCTGAAGTTCTGATGTTTGCCCCAACCTTGCTGTCACATGACCTTACTTTGAGCACTCAACACTGGTGCATTTACAGCCACTTGCAACGCCCTCCAGTCACTTGACTGCATTTTATGAGTTTTCCCAAAAACTGGAATTTTTGGTTTTCAGCAAAACTATGCCATACTGAACAATGGGTTTGCTTAACAACCACAGCATTTGCTTATCAACTGTGTTTGCTTAATGACTGCAGCAGAAAAGATAGTAAAATCAGGTTGGTCCTGTGACTGACCCATTTTACAACCATCACAACTTACAACCATAATAGGTTCCATTATGGTCGTAACACAACTCAACTCCCTGTAGTCTGGATTTTTATTTTTCAGAATTTCTCTCCTATCTACTGTATGTCAACTTATCAACAGAAGCAAGAATTCATTATTAATGCAAAAAGAGCATATCTTTGATGTTCATCACATCCCAGCGCCAATCAATGAAAACATGAAAAAATGTATTCTAACTGTAGCCATTGCCACCCACCCACTGAGACACATATTCTTCAGAAAGAGAAGATATGTTTTTATCCAGTTACTTTGTTGAATGATCTTTAACTGAAATATATGAAATATATATTCTGAATGCTATAGTTAAACGTAATCAAAATATAACTGGGCAATAAACCCCACATAGCCAAAAATGGAAGACTCTCCTGAGGTAGCAAATTTGAAACACAAAAATACACAAACTATACACTCTGAGGCTATATTTCTTAAGTTAGGGGGCTAATGAACAAGAATAGGAGTAGCAAAGCTAAATTCAGTTTGTTCATCTATTCAACAAGTAATTGGTGCCATTAACTTTGAAAATTTATTTTGGGTGAATAAAGTGTTAAATATTCCTCATTCAGTGAACTGCATGCAGAGACCCAGAAAGCAGGATACAGCCTTGAACCAAAAAGAAGTAGAGACAGTGACTCAGTTTTCTGGATGCATATCCATGTGTATCTAGAATCTAGATCATCCTCAACTCCATGTAATATAGTTGTTGAAAATATTTGTCTGAATTGTTTGCTTTTTTATAGTGTACAGTTCTGCTATCTCCCTAAAGCCCAGTGATGATATTTTCATGATTGAGTCATAGAGGTTACAATATATGAACAATCTGCTTAAGTGAAACACATCTTCAAAATAAAAGCAACTCGCTACCCAATGAGAGGGAATCTGGGGGTGCAGATAACTAACAATCTGAATTGGTCTCTCCACACGTCATCCTTAGTGAAGCGTGCAAACCAGCATTTCCTGTGTCGGATGAGGAGAGCACATCTTTCTCCTTCTGTCCTGGCCATTTTTTACAGAGGCACGATTGAAAGCATTTTAACAAACTGCATCACTGTCTGGTTTGGTGGCAGCAGTGCCTCAGATAGAAAGTCCATACAGACAGTGGTAAGGAAGGCCGAGAAGATCATAGGAAGCTCGTTCCCTGGTATTCAGGATGCTGCTTATAAGCGCTGTGTGCTTAGAGTTCAAAGCATTGTTAGAGACCCCACACATCCACTTTCTATTGCTCCCCTCTGGGAGGAGGTTTCGAAGTATTTCTAGCAGGACTACCCAATTCTGTAATAGCTTTGTTCCCTATGCCATCCGTCTGATAAACTCGCAAGATGCATTTTTCTCGCCATGCACATGTATACATAACCCGAACTAGACTGTTGTTTCTCTGTGTCATATAATATATGTGGGTATATGCATAATTCTGTATTTATTTATTTTTGATATTTTAAGTACTGTATATCAGAGGTGGTGACCCTTTGAGAGCTGAATGCAACGAAATTTCATTTTAATGTATGCCGATTAGTGTACCTTCAAAGTGACAATAAAATTATTGTTCTATTCTATTCTATTCTATTCTATTCTATTCTATTCTTATTCTTATTCTTATTCTATTCTATTATTCTATTCTATTCTATTCTAAAATATCCCTGCAAAAGTAAAAATTAAAAACATAGCTCTGAAGTACTAGTAGCTCATTTTCAGACAAAAATATACCCAGCATCCGGTTTCATATTTTTGTCTTCAAAAACACAGATTTCATTTGGATGTTCACCAGCCAGTATGCATAAAAATACAATAGCACTTCCTGCTCAAGAGAGAAGATAAACGTCAACCTACCGAGTCTCCTGGCATATGAAGTACGTGCCCGAACAATTGATTGTCACATCTGATAAAATAAACATGGCTCAAGTGAGGCAATAAAACATCCAAATGGTCTGTTCAGAATTAATAGCACTTCTACAGCACCTTGCTACCCTTTCCACTCCTGGGAGCTTCATAATCTCTTTGTGGAAAATTTTAGCAAGGCAGTTACGAGGATCATGTCACACAGAGCTCAGATGCCCAAAGCGGAGGCTTACTGCTATATGGAATTCTTTCCTGGGTTCCTGAGCTGCAGGTAGCAACAGCAGGAGCAGCTGCCATCACACTTTCTTCCTCCTCCCTCTCCTCAGAAAGCTCTAGGAAGCATTCTGAATCTTCATATGGCCTTTCTAGAAGTTTCAAGACTCTTCTCACCTGTAGAGAAAGGAAAGGACACAAGACAGCAACATGGGAATGCTCTTAATAGTGTCTTTTGGATTTGGAGCCCCCACCCCATTCCTGCACATCTCACAAGAATTTGATTGGTTGGTTTTATTCCTTTCTGTGGCAAATCTAGAATGATTTTTCTTGAGCCTGGACTTGGGTGTCAGAGATTGTTCAATTTTATTGTTGCTCAGTTTTAACTACTGATACACCACTCAGAATTCCTGCTATGAGATGGGTGGGCAAAAAATAATAATAACATAAATATGAGAAAAAACTGTTTACCTCTAGAAAGTCATCATTTTCTGCTGCTTCAATAGCCTTTTGAGCAATATAGTTCCTCAATATATATTTTGGATTGCTGGCATTCATAATTTTCAGACGCTCATCATTCCATGTGTCAGTATTACTAATGTGTTCCATTTCTTTTTCTAGCCTATCTCTGGAAGCAGATAAAAGCAAGTGCTTAGATCAACACAGTGGGTTAAACATCTGAAATGATTCATTTAAAAGAGACTGTTAAATAAAAAACATTAATTTGAATATATTCTAAAAGTATGTACTTCAGAATAAATCTCATAGTACTTAGCTAAGTATATATTAACAAATGAAAAATTAGAAGTTATATAATAGCTCAAATATTCATTTGCATTTCACATGGCAATGACTAAATTTTTATTAGCTGATTTATAAATATATCTCAACAAAAGGGGAAAAAAGCCACTAAGCAAAGAGAATGTAAATAAACTCACCTGTAATTCTGCAACCAGTTTTTCCAGTTTTTTTTATTTCTATTGACTAAATCGGAGGTTGTTAATTGCTGCAGCTTAGAGAACTGTTCTATTCGTTCCAATTCCTTATTAATATTCGACTTTGTTCCAATCAAGGCAAAGAGTTGTGGGTTAGACTGTGCTAACATTAACATCATGGAAAGTTGCCTGGAAAAAAGCACATCAACTCCATATGATAATGCCTATCATTAGGCATTATACTTGTCAAGAGTTCTTTTTTATCCTTCTAAAGCAGTGCTTCTCAAACTTGATAACTTTAAGACATGTGAACTTAAATCCCAGAATTCCCCAGACAGAATGAAGTCCATATGTCTTAGAAGCTTGAAAAACATTGTTTTAAAGACATGTTTAAATAAAAGTGGGCAGACTTTTCATATATTACCTGTGCTTTCAACTCTGTAACATAACAGGCTGTGTCATTTCAGGCTTTCCTCCCAAAGTTCCTTAAAATTCAACAGGCAGTTTCCACCATGAATGGAACCACAAAGCAGGTTTTGCTTGCTCATCCTTGTATTGATTATTCTATTCCCTTCTCCCCTTGATCTACATGTATATTTCAGCCAAAAAGGGGGTTGGGCTGAAATTTACAGGCTGCCCGATTTCCAATTATTCCAGGGTAGCTTACACTTTAAAAAGTGAAGAACAATTATAATTGAGAAAAGGGTCATATATAGACAGAAAAAGCATGCTGAACACATCGAAGGGGTCAGATCCATCAGCTTTTAACAATTTCCAAAATACCACTGGAGAGGAGCTGTATCACTGAAAAGATACTGTTCCAGAGGGCATCTTTGAATTAGTTGTCTAATTTATTTTTTTGTTCTCCCTTCTCTTTTGGTCTTTCACTTACAGCAATTTCTTAATTCTAGTATGTGTAACAAAAAATGGAGAACTAGTGGCAGAGCTACTGCACCACATCCCTGTACATGCTTATGAAAAGGGCATGTTCTATTATAAATTTGTAATCTTATAATATTTTATCATTTGTAATATTATGTGTAAATTCTTAGGTCCAAGAATCCTTGGAGTTAAATGGTATGTTGAGCCTTATTTCTATAAGATGGATGGTTAGTAGGCTAACTGCAGTGTCCTCTCATTTCAACTCATAATTGCTTCTAGCACCTAATAGCTTAAAATCTTTAGTTTAATTTAAATATAGAAAAAAATGTTATTTCAGCTGCCTGGCCAGAGGTATAAGAACATTATAACAGCAACGTTGAACTTTAGCAGTCAATTTACATATTTAACTATTTCATAGCTATATTTTAATATATAAAATTAGTCAGCAATTATTAAACTATTCTCTCACAAAAACTGACACAGCATTGGTGCTCTCACAGCACGGTCTCATGACACAATATACCTAGGATCCATCTGAGGCTTATAAGCAACTTTCAGTTCCTCCAAAGACGCACATTGCTTTGAGATCTGATCCAGAAACTCTTCTAGATTTAAAGGATCAAAATCCACAGGGAATGAGTTCAGCAAGCGGAAGGTATTTGTAAAGTCTGCACCTACAGAGAAGATTAGACAAGAATGTTAATTTCAGCCATATAAGAAAGTTTCCACTTTTTATTTCAACTTTCTATAACTGAGTTCCAAGTGATTTTACAATTGTAATATTTTTAATGTATCATAATTATCCAAATGCATGTGGTCAAATTGATTTTGTTTTTTAGTATTCTTAAAATGAATATAATTCATACTCACCTGTGATGTGCATAGTCTCCAAGAGATCAAGGACCAGCTTATTATCTTCATCTAGCTGGAGCTGAATTAATCCTAGTTTCCTTCTCATCATTTGCAAATAATGCTTTTCAAATTCTGCATCATATTCCTCTTCCAGAATGGGCGTGCTGATTTCCAGTGGAAGTTCTGGGACTAAGGCTTCAGCAAATTTAGTTAGATTCCACTTACAAATCTCTGGTTGCTTATTATAAGCATATCGTCCTGTGTTATCAGATCCATTGCAAATATGTTCAGGATCGTATCTAGAGAAAATATAAAATATAAAATGATACAAGGCAATATTTAACTGATATGGATACATGGCACAGAATCATTAAATACTGCAGGAAGCACTTAGATATTTGAAGACAGTATGCATCACTTTCTAAGATGAGTTAATCAAATCTAATACAGGTACAAACACAAAGTTGCAAACAACCGGTAAAGATGGGGGGGGGGGGAAATCAAAGTCTATAAACTGCCATCACATTCATTTTAAACACTGTATCATCATATTCACACAGATAGCATTGCTATTTGAAATACCAATTTCAACAATACTTACATGCCATATAGTCTTTCAGTATGGTTTACCATTAGAGACAAGATCTTTTTGTAGCTCATCTCTTTCCATCTTGAACTGGGTCTAGGTCAGGCCAACTCGCCGTGGGCCAAGTCACCACAGCAAACTTGCCACAGACAATTCACTGCGGGACAACTTGCCATGGCCAACTCACTGCAGGACAATCTGCCGCAGGACAAGAGTTACACTAATATCGAAGAAATGGTGGAGTAGAATCATTAAAAAAAGGATGCTAAAGGAGGGACAAATGAACTGTGAATGACAATAATTAAATTATTTTTAAATTATTTTAAATAATTGAACTGTTGAATTGTCCTGTAGGAAGTTGTTCTGCAATGAGTTGGCCAAGGTGAGTTGGTCACAGTGAGTTGGCTGTGGCAATTTGTCCCATTCCGCTAGTACAGTGGTTCTCAACCTGTGGGTCGGGACCCCATTTGGGGTCGATCGACCATTTCACGGGGGTCGCCAAGCAAGGCTGTCCGCCATTTTTTTGGTCCATTTTTTTTGTCCGCCATTTTTTTCCCCTTTTCCGGCGGGTGCCTTATCTCCCTTGGGCTGGGCCAGCTGGTGGTCGGCCTGCTCCGTCTCTGCCACTTGCCAGCTACGCCTCAGCCGGCGCAGGGGGCGGAACCGCGCATGCGCGGCGCTCCCGGGCAGGGAAAGTCCTCGACTTACGACCGGTTTAGTCCTCGACTTACGACCGGTTTAGTCCTCGACTTACGACCGGTTGGGGTCGCGGCATTAAAAAGGTTGAGAACCACTGCGCTAGTAGGAAGATAGTCTCATCTCTCCATCTTTTCTGAATGGGACTTCTACATGCAAAATTAATCATTTTGTATTAACTCTACAAATACTTAAACATACTGTATGGCAAGACAATTTATCTGAAATAATAATTCAATATGTTTCAGTTTTTTCCACTGTCTCCACTAAATGTTACTATTAAAGAAAAAGGACTGGAATTAAATTATTGACCAAAATTACAAGAGAGTATCAATACATTGTAAGAACCTGAGTTACACTAACCTGTCCATAAATCCAAAAGGTCCATAGTCAATTGTAAGTCCAAGTACACTCATATTATCTGTGTTGAGCACACCATGACAAAATCCAACACACTGCCATTCAGCAACCATCCTGGCTGTCCGTCTTGATACCTTAAAACATATACCAATTAGTTGTCAAGCTCTTTTCACCTACAAATTATATTTTAGAAGAGCTGTGTTGTAATAACATGGTAAACAAATGTGTATGTTGAAAGTTTTCCATTCTAGCATTCATACAGTTTTAGATTTCAACATCTAAAACAGCTTTTAATTTGGAAGATATTCTTCACATAAGCATCAGGGTAGAAATTGGGGCAATGGGATCTTAATTTTTCCTACATATGGAAGTTTAAATTCACTGGCCCTAAATAATTTTTTATTCTTTTTGCAGATTAACAAGTACTTCAAAAGTACTTCGGAAAGTCTGAAATTATACAATTAGAACAAAATAGACTTAGAATAAATGTGAGTCTCAGGAATCTTCTGTAGTAACAGAAAATACAATAAACGGATATTTTCATAAAATAACATAATACATAAATTTAGAGATTGAGAGATTGCATGAAGCTATTTAAACAAGCTTGTGAATATGAATTTTCCATTCAAATTCCTACTCAGTGATAAGCAAATGAGAGAAATTAGTCTAAATTAACTATGACATCAATAATTGAATGTTAAATTGAATGCCTTTGGAGGAGAAGTGTAGATTAATTTAATACTATAAATTGTCAGCTCTCACCTTACCTCTCGAAAGAAAGCTGCATTCCTCTGAATATTATTGTCAGGGTGTGTTTGCAGAATATCTGGATAGAAAGTGCTAATCACATAATCAAGCATTTGAACTCTAATATCATTTCTATCAACACTGGGACCTTTACGTCCTGTAAATTCATCAGTAGATTTAAAAATTTCAAATGATCCAAACCTGTTTAAAACAGAAATTGCCTATTACTCCTGTCCATTCATAAGGTATTTCAACATTTCAGTAAGATCTTTTTTCTCTGTAACTATTTTTTTAAAAAGCATATTTAACCATAAAATGAAAATAAACTGATTTCTGATATAATTATTAATAATAAACTAATATTAATATATGTCTATCCCAGGACCTTGGAAAGGACTTGATAGGTGGATAAAATGCCAAATCCAGTCTATATATCTGGCTGGCTGTGTGACCAAGCATATTCATCTCTAAATCTACAGCCATACATATATAAAAATAGCTAAATAATAATTCAGAAATGAAACTAGTAATTAAGTTGCAAAAATGCATCTTTCAGGTAGCCTAACAAACAAAAGCTAGTCATCCTAGCTTTGTGATCCCAGAAAACACTGAAGCTGAATATTTACAATATATCATGGCAATATGCAAAAATCTTCTGGACCTGACTAACTGCTATCCTACCGTAATAAGAATTTATCCACATTCTGTTATAAAGAACACCACTTTTAATATTACATCCAACCAGAACAATTACCTAATAAATGTTGGTGCTATTCTTAGTACAATTGTACACTTTTCTTTTTTGGGATTTCCATCATAAAATATATCCCGAATAACTTCTGAATCCGATGTTACACATGTCCCTGCTCTGGTGGTTGGTATTCCTAGGTGAAACATGGCCTCACTGCAAAGGAATTCTCTTATGCTTGATCTCAGAACTTTACGACCATCTGCTTGTCTGAAATTAATGAAATAATATGTGTAAATACGATGTAACTTCAAAACTCAAAATTAAACGGAGCACATAGGGCCAGAAATCATCTTATACGTTAAAGAATCTTTTAAGGCTCAAATAACCAAAATGAATTTCTTACTTTAAATATTCTCCAGCTCAAGTATTTCCAATCTAATAAGCATGACTGAATAGCTTTAGTAATGCCAGCTTGAAACAATAGTAGAGTACAGCTATAACATGATCATTTCTGACATTTTAGAAACGCCATTGAAAATAGAAAATGGGAGAAAAAGGAGTGAGCCAATCTCTCTCGCTTAGCCCTAGGAAGGAGGCAATGACCAGCCATTTCCAAAATCTTGCCAAGAAAACAAACAGGGACTTGCAATGGGGGGGAGGGAGGGGGGAGAAGGAAGGAAAACAAATGCATGCAAATTAGACCTTGCCCTCTTTGGGAAAAGAATTCTTAAGTTTGAATGTGAACGAAGATCACAAACCTGTTGGGGGAATTGGGAATAAATCCAGAAGAAGCAACGGGTGGAAACTAATCAAGGAGAGAAGCAATCTAGAACTAAGGAGAAACTTCCTGACAGTGAGAACAATTAATCAGTGGAACAACCTGCCTCCAGAAGCGGTGAATGCTCCAACACCGGAAGTTTTTAAGAAGAGACTGGACAGCCATTTGTCCGAAATGGTATAGGGTTTCCTGCCTGAGCAGGGGGTTGGACTAGATGACCTTCAAGGTCCCTTCCAACTTTACTATTATTATTATTATCTACCTCCATAGAGACACAATAGCCATCTAAGCCCAGACTTTTGTTTTGTTCAGTAATCTAAATTAAAATGGCCCTGAGAGATAATTGCTTCAGCCCATAATCATCTTCCATGCCTTTTTATTCAGAGTCCAGATAACTGTACACGACAAAGGGCCTGGCTGAGAAAAGGAACCAAGTCCTCCTATACCAGGGGTCCTCAACCTTGGCAACTTTAAGACTTGTGGACTTCAACTCCCAGAATTCCTCAGCCAGCAAAGCTGGCTGAGGAATTCTGGGAGTTGAAGTCCACAAGTCTTAAAGTTGCCAAGGTTGAGGACCCCTGTCCTATACAGAATAGTAGAGCTGGAAGAGATCTCAGAGGCCATCAAGCCCAACCCCCCCTGCAGGATGCACGTGTCGCTGCCACTCACCAAACCCCGGGAGCTTATCGCACTCAGCAGCTGGCAAGTTCGGCTACCCGTCTCCCTCTTCCCCCCCACCCCAGCAGCTCCTCCGCCTCTCTTTACCTGGAGAAAGGGGTGAGTCCGGCGCCCTTGAGCTGGATCTCCCAGCGCTCCCCACGCGGGTTCAGCACCTCCCCCAGGTACACGGCCGCGCCGTCGCCCAGCTGCCCCGCGAAGCTGCCGAACTGGTGGCCGCAGTAGCAGTGGGCGGCCGGCTCGGCTCCCGGCAGCAGCCGGTTCCCGCTGAAGCAGAGCGCGGCCTCCTCTTCCTCCTCCGGCTTCTGCGGATCCCTCAAGCCCAGCAGAGCCAGCGCCGGCGCGGAGGCGGCCACCAGCCGCGGGGACTGCACTGGCGTGGGCCGCACCCGAGAAAAGCAGGCGCCCGGCACGGACCGAGGGACGTTCTCCTCGCTCGGATCCAGCGGCAGAGCCCGCAGAGCCCGGTTGTCGAACCGCAAAGCGTTGAACCACCGCGGGGCCCCGGACGAGGACGAGGACGAGGCGGCCGCCTCCATGCTAGCAGGGGGACTCGCGTTCGTGGCGGCCGCGAACCAGCCGGGCAGCGATCCTAAGCGACCGAAGCAGCGACGTTTACAGCGCAGAGCGGCGGCCATCCATTTTTTTTTTCCCCGTCTCGGCTACCGTCTGACAGATGGCCTGTCACGCAGCTCTTAATCTCGCCCGCAGCTTCTCCATGCAGCCTATCCAAATGCCTTCCCCGAAACACGCCTCCGGCGTTCACCCTATCACGGCACGGAGAGACTTAGCCAATCTGAGGACGTGGAGAGGATCAACATACAAAACGTGCCCGTCCTGTTGGTTTAGGTCAGGGGTAGGCAACCTCGGCTCTTTTATGACTCGTGGACTTCAACTCCCAGAATTCCTGAGCCAGCTTGGCTGCCTCAGGAATTCTGGGAGTTGAAGTCCACGAGTCATAAAAGAGCCAAGGTTGCCTACCCCTGGTTTAGGTCATAATGTTTCTCAACCTTGACAATTTTAAGGCATGTGGACTTCAACTCCCAGAATTCCACAGCCAGCAATGCTGGCTGTGGAATTCTGGGAGTTGAAGTCCACATGCTTTAAAATTGTCAAGGTTGAGAAACACTGGGCCCGGTTCCTCCGTTTCCGAGTCCTGCCATCAACCCGCCAGGCTACGCCCAAGATGCCAGTAAGGCAGAGAGGCTTAATAGCCCTGCAATAGTGGTAACCCAGTGTTTGTCAATCTTGGCAACTTTAAGATGTGTGGACTTCAACTCCTAAAATTCCTCAGTAAAATATGGGCTAAAATATGGGCTCCTGATCACAAATTAAGAATAGAATAGAATGGGAATGGGAATAGAATGGGAATGGGAATAGAATAGATCAATGGTGGCGAACCTATGGCACGGGTGCCAGAGGCGGCACTCAGAGCCCTCTTTTTGGGCGCGCGCGCCGTTGCCCCAGTCCTAGGCCTTCAGCTGGGTTTTATAAAACCTTTTCGCTTTAGGCCTCCATGTGCAAAAAAAAAAAAAGGTTCAGTCAGTCAATTTCAACTTCTTGCGGGGAAAAAAAGATCTTGCAAAGTTGGAATTGATTGATTGAACTTTTTAGTCCCACCCAGCCTGCCGTTACTACTGCAGCTACACCCACCCAATGGGCCACACCCACCCGGCACTGGACGATGCATAAGTGGGTTTTGAGTTGCAGTTTGGGCACTCGGTCTCTAAAAGGTTCGCCATCACTGGAATAGATCTTTTTGCTCTGTGTGCAAACTGGTGACTGTCGAGTGTGTATGGGAGGCAGGACACAATGTGCCTGCAGACCAGTTTTTCAAAACACTTCATGATAATAGGGGTGAGTACCACTGGTCTATAATCACTGAGACTGTTAATAAAGGACTTCTTTGGCAGTGGAACAATGATGGAGGGCTTCAGACAGAATGGAATAATGGACTGGGAAAGAGACCGATTAAAAATCTTAGTGAAGACCCCAGCCAACTGGTCTGTGCAGGCCTTTGAACATCCGGCCAGAAATCCATCATGTCCAGAGCCTTCCTTGCGTCCATAGTTCTCAAGGTACTCCTCACCTCATGATCCTCCACAGTGAGGGGAGAGCTGTAATGGACTAGTGGCTGTGGTACAGCTGCCTCTGATGGCTTCACTTCAAAGCAGGCAAAGAAATAATTCAGCTCCTCTGCCAATGAAGCATCTCTGTCAACAGGAGTGATGTTATTGGGTCTATATTTGATGATTTGTTGGATTCCCTGCCACACTTTGCCTCACATCATTGTTATGAAAATGGTTTTCAATCTTCCTCTTATAATTTGCCTTGGCCTGCCAAATGCAGCATAAACATGTTTTGCATTCTTTTAAAAATCTGCTATGTCCACAGCGTGCACTCTTAAAGTAATGCTTTATCCCCTTCTCCCAACTCCATTTGTGCCCTGGATGCAAACTAGGATGAGTCTGAGTGTTGTGGATACAGATGCAATCAGATATTGGAGCCTGTGCAGCTCCCGTTGGCTGTTGCAGAAGATGCTTCCCCAAGAAAGGCCATCTATGCCCAGTTTTGCTTAAGCTGCAGGAGAGGTTGGACCCCAGGCATCCCCAGAGGCATCTCCCTGCATAATGTTGGATTGCAGCTTTCCAAAGTGTTGATGAGGCTTTCTATAGACCAGTGATGGCGAACCTTTTAGAGATCGAATGCCCAAAAACTGGCCCCGCCTCATTCTGCCCTCTGCCCTGCCCCTGCCCCGCCCCCACCCCATCCCCCACCCTGCCTGCCGCAGGGCCACTCACCGCCTCCAAGACCTGCCGCAGATCGCCCAGGCAGCCCAGCAGCACCATGGGGCCATGCCCTCTGCCCGCCCCCCACAGCATCAACTGTGCGTGATGGGGCGTGAGAGCAGAGTCTTGTCTATGCTGCCTGGCTGCCATGTCCTTGGCTGCGCTGCTTCGCGTGGGTCACGCTCGGGGGCAACTTTTTTCCAGGGGGGCTGCTGGTGAGGGGGTCGTGGGGGAGGCGAGGCATGTGTGCCCACAGAGAGGGCTCCGAGTACCACCTCTGGCATGCGTGCCATAGGTTCACCACCACTGCTATAGACTCTTAGAAATAGGCAATCCATACAAATTATTGAAAATATAGACAACTGGGTGCTCTTTTGAAAGAGTGCTAGATCTTTCAAAAAAAGGGGGGGGCTCTAAAGAGTTTTCTCTAGTCTGGAAAGTGGGAAGATGGCTAAATGCACTTTTCAAAGCATCCGCCCACAATGGGATCTGCATGGCAGGGCAAAAAAAAAAATCATGTTATGGGAGGTACAGTATAACTCAGTGATGGCAAACCTTTTAGAGACCGAGTGCCCAAACTGCAACCCAAAACCCACTTATGTATCGTCGGGTGCCAGGTGGGTGTGGCCCATTGGATGGGTGTGGCCCATTGGATGGGTGTGGCCCATTGGGTGGATGGGTGGATGGGTGTGGTAATGGCAGACTGGGTGGGACTAAAAAGTTCAATCAATCAATTCCAACTTTGCGAGATCTTTTTTTTCCCCACGAGAAGTTGAAATTGACTGATTGATTGAACCTTTTTTTTTTTTGCACAAAGTGGAGGCCTAAAGCGAAAAGGTTTTATAAAACCCAGCTGAAGGCCTAGGACTGGGGCGACGGCGCACGTGCCCACAAAGAGGGCTCTGAGTGCCGCCTCTGGCACCTGTGCCATAGGTTCGCCACCACTGGTATAACTTGTGATCAAAACTCAATACTTTGGTCGTGTATAGAGTTTCATGCACAGTCAAAGGGATAGAGTTGTACCTGCCATCTTGGCTTGTGTGTGGAGCCCTGCCACTTACAGTCATTTGATCCTGCATCTAAATGGGGTAATGGAAAATGTGAGGGGAAATGAAACCAGGGGTAGTTATTTATTTGTATGACCGCCCATCTCAGCAAGTGACACTGCATGTAAAAATAAATTTAAAACAACTTTTCATCATAAATACAAAACTTAAAATACATAGCAGTGTATGTACAGATAGGCCTCAACTTACGACCATAATTGAGCCCAAAATATGTTGCTAAGTGAGAAATTTGTTGAGTTTTGCCCCATCTTAGGACTTTTCTTGCTACATTTGTTAAGTGAATCACTGCAGTTCTTAAATTAGTAACACAATTGTTAAGTGAATCTGGTTTCCACATTGACTTTGCTTGTCAGAAAGTCGCAAAAGGGGATCACATGACCCTGGAACACTGCAACTGTCAAAAATGTGAGTCTGTTGTCAAGCATCCAAATGTAAATCACATGACCATGATGCTGCAATGATGATAAGTGTGAAAAATGGTCATAAGTCAATTTTTTCAGTGCCGTCTATCTTTCTATCCATCTATCATATATCTATCATCTCCTACTACCTTTATTATTTTTAGAAATAAGGAGGCAGACACATCCAACACACCTTCCTTCTCTTATTTTCCCCACAACAATCCTGTGAGGTTAATTTGGGATGAGAGAGAGAAAGACTGGGTCAAGGTCACCCAGCTAGCTTTCATGACTAAGGTAGGATTAGAACTGTTTCCCACTTTCTAGCTTGAGGCTTTAACCCTGCTGGCATACGTTTTCCTTTGATTCATATACTGATGATATAGCATTTCAATGTGACCATTCAGTTATGCCTTTATCAACCATTACTTTAGTTGTGGCTTAAGAGCAACCCACAGAAACTATTGCAAAGATAGACTACGAGGTACCCTCGTGGCTTTTCAGTTTCAGCTCTCCTCAGCCCCATCGTATTAGCATCATTGCTTGTCAGCAATAAGAAAGCATGGAATGATAGTTCAGAATATCAAAGGCAACTGCATTCCACAGGGATCTGCAGGTGGGGATCAAATGAAGGCAGAATTGCACTGTCAGACCCTTTTGTGGGTATCATGACATTGCGTGCATATAGGAAAGAGGCAGAGCTTGTTCATAATGGTGCAACAATGTTTTTGTCATTTTCATAGAAGAATTGGATCCTGTGGAAGCTGCTGCTGCTTGCTTTGATTTGCATTGTTAGAGAATTTTAATTTCTGTTGGTAAAAATAAATCAGAAGCTCTCACAGTTGACTGCATTTAGCTGATTCAAATAAACTCTTTATATTCATATAAAATTATTTACAATACCATACATTCTTCTTTACAGCAATGAAGACTTCTTATAGCAGAGACAGACCTGAGACTGAAACTAAAACCCAGCTTCTAACTCAATAACCTTTTGCACAGACTCAGTAGCACTTTCTTCACATTGGCTGACTGAGTTACCACATGACTCTTCCTGCTCATGAATATTCCAACACATTAGAAAAATCTGTTCCCAGTGTTTTCTTCCTAAGCCAGCCTTTATCTTCCTACAGTAACAGTAACATTTTTCTTTCTTTTTCTATTTTCTATGAATTTTAACAGAGATACTGCTATCGTAAAAGCAGATCAAAATTCACATTGGCTGTTATGCAAATAACTAAGAGGATCTGCAAAAGACAATAAAATTTGTTGATACCTTAAGAAT